TATTTTTCCTACTTTCGGTGGTGGCCATTTCATTTTGCATTCGCTCGCAAATAATGAAGCGCAAGCTCGCCCAGTATAAACTGCAACGCTCTTACTACCACAACCAGGGATACTAGTCATATAGGGGAGACACAGCGGTGGTGATTACACACAGCAATAAATAAAGCTTCTTTCGGAGAGAACAGAGTGAGTACAAATTGGCATTACTGGGAAGATCTCTGAATGAACTCGCGATCCATCATCTCTGACTCGTCGCGGTACTGCGAGTACCGCTCATAGGAGACCATCTCGTCGTCGTCGTCGTCGATGGACTGCTGCTGTTCGGGGTTCAGTAGCTTGGCAGTCAGCAGCTGACACTGATCGAGCTTCGCCTCGATTGGCTTGGCGATCTCTCTCAGCTGACTCTCCTGACTGCTGTTCATCATCTCCATTATCTCTGTGAAACAGACAAAGGACAGACAATTTACTTATGTGTTATCGGACAGGCGGCGAATGTATCAACAACAAGCACTTACTTTGCATTGCCTTTTTCAGAAGGCCAATTTCATCCGGTCGTTTATCAAACAGTATTCGTAAGTACCTGTACAATGAAGTGAATGTATTTAGAGTCTTTTCCGGTCAGGTGAAGGACTGCAGTTTATATAGATACTAACGGATCAAGGTTTTCATTGAACTTTTCAGCAGCGTAAATGATCGCAAACAAAGCAAGCTGAAAAGTGTAAATTGCAAGTTGTTAAAGTGTGCTGTAAAGGTTAAATAAGAGAATGAACTTACTTGATTCGGACTGAAGAGAAAGCAAGCATCCGTGTAGAATGACTTGTCCAGAAATTGGTCAATGTATTTACGAAAATGTTCTGGATTGGTGCACTCCGTATATCTCGTCTTCAATTCAAGGAAAAAGGAATGGAATGCTAANTCTTTAATTCAAGGAAAAAGGAATGGAATGTTAAATAAGGTCAACAACAACAACAAAATTGTAATGCATACCTTGATGTCAATTAAGAAACCTTCAACCGGTCTATACGGGTGAGATATGGTGAGCTCGTAGTTGAGACGATTGAGGAGCAACATTTCATTGTTGAGTACAATTTCGGCAGCTTTGCTCTTGTCGCCGCGAATGTTGGACACAAACTGGTCCATTGTAATGTTGAACTCTTCAATTTTTGTCGCCAGGAAGACGCAAGTGACCATGATATGCTTTGGGTGATGCTCCATTGCTGAATTGTTCAGATAGAATCGCTTGAAGTAGTGCACTGATGTGCTCTACAAAAAAAGATAGATTAGAAACAAAAACATCACAGAAACAACAAATGAAACTTACAATAACATTTTTGGGCATTGGAGGCTTGAATTTGCAACAAAAGTCAATGAGAATACTGAGATAAAAGTTGACCAGATTGGCCTCTTCGTCCACCTTCAGATAGGGAATGTTATCCTGCCAAGAAGAAAAAGAAGTAGAGTTAATCAAACTAAAGAATACCGAAAATGCACCAATTCTTACATTGTTCGCCTGCAGTTTATCTTCGCACTCGCTAATAAAGCTCTCGTTTGCTTTAACACGCCTCAAACTGAGCTCCTCTTCATCGGCGAATATCCAGTGTTTGTAGTGCGTTGTACTGTGAAACATTTTCTCCCCTTCCCCTGCAAGGTTTTCATCAAATTAAGAAGAGATTTGGTTCAAGTGGCAAATGGTTGTTATCATCTGCCGGCGGCGACTGCAAAATCGTGTGTTTACAAAAAAAAGTGCACATACTTTTGTTAGGATCCATTCATTAGCAAGAGGACGAGCGGTTTGAATTTGAAATGCAGA